CCCTAATCTGTTCTGCACATAATTTCCTGACTGTATATTGTCCAGGGTAGGGGTTGCTTTTCATTCATCATTCTGGACATGTGCCTGTCACATAGTGGCTGCTCATTAAGTATTTCAGAAATGAATGAGTGAATAAATTAGCAAATGAAAGAATGGGTGGTTAAATGAATTAACGAACAAAAGAGCTAAGCACTTCTAGGTCCCAGGTTGTTTCTCATTTCATTAAATCTGCCTCTTTGCAGCCCCATGAACTGCAGTACGCCAGGCTTCCCTGTCCATCACCAACTCCCGGAGATTGCTCAAATCTGCCTTTGCTTGCATATTAATTGTTTCAAAAAAAAGAGTAACACAGTTTTCACTCATATATATGATGTCTCTTGATTTAGATCAGAAGCTTCTAAAGGGCATGTGCATCTTCTCACTATGCTTTTCATTCTCTCAGATCCAGATATATCAGGGTGTGATAAAGTTTCTGAATGCTCACTTTTGCAATATACTTGTACAAGAATTTTCTTCACTTGTTTTGAGGGAAGTTTCTGCAAAGGTTTTAGTTCAGAGAGTGTTGCAATAAGATGTTATCCTAGCACAGTCACGAAAAAGAAATAACCTGCTGATTCTTTTTTTTTTTTTTTTTTTTGCTGACAGAAGAAACATTCAACTTTCCATCTCTTTAGATGTTTAAATGAGAGCCTATATTTCAGTGTTCAGAACCTTCAAAACATACATTATTTGCATTTTTTTTTTTTTTTTTCTGACAGAAGAAACATTCAACTTTCCATCTCTTTAGATGTTTAAATGAGAGCCTATATTTCAGTGTTCAGAACCTTCAAAACATACATTATTTGCTTGTATAAAACATGATAATATGGACTCAGTGGAAACACTATTTACAGTCTCTTTCATGTCCTAGTCAAACTTTCAGAAATACTTTTTAAAGGAACACACCTACTACATTAAGCTTGAACCTATTCTCCTAAGTGTGTGCAAAGTATTCAATCAAAGAAATAGCTACTAAGTCCAAAACTTTCTTTTATTTCTGGTAGCTGACTTGAAGAGATAAAATTTGGCAAGAATAAAAGGACCAAGATTAAGCTCCTCCTAAATGTGAGAATAAACAGAAGCACAGACATGCTGATTATCACAAGCCTTATCTGCCAGACTTTAGATCAATGGTTCTCAACCAAGAGGGACTGTGCACCACAGGGGACATTTGATGACGTCTGAAGATATTTTGGTTATCTCAACTGGGACCTTGCTACTGGCATCAAGTGGACAAAAGCCAGAGATGCTGATGGTTCTCAACACCCCACAATACAAAGAACAAGCCCCCGCAATAAAGAATTATCTGGCTCCACATCAGTAGCGCCAAGGTTGGGAAAGCATGCCCTAGACTTAAACATTTCCTCATCAGTGAGGCAAAACAGTAGAAAAAGATGAGTTCACATTCCTAATTACTCTCCTTTCCCCCCCCCGAAACCTAGAATTAGGAGGAAATGAATTATGACGCTATTTTCATAGTTCAATAAAGATAGCATTTGGAAAGAAATAGGATAGGGAAAAATGGGGGTGGGAGGAGCATTTCAAGCAACTAAGTTCTTAGAAGGAAAACATATCTTAGACATTTTCATTTCCATTGTAGGAAATGTTAGCATCAGCAATGGGTTTTAACCATCCAGGCAGATGGGTTATTGGAACTAAAGTCATACTACAAGGTCTACATCTCCTCCAGGAGTAAAACTTCCCTAGAGCTAAGTGAATTTTAAATACAAGAGACTTGCAATGGTTTTAATTAGCATTTTAACTCTCCTGGATGATTTTAAAAGGGATTAGGAAGTTGAAATCTGATGCATCTCTAGAAAAGCGAACCAGGCTTAGTCATTACAAAGGATATTTTAATACTAATAGGTAAATGGAAATATTCCATTTTCAAAGGGACAATTCAGAGGAAGTGTATTCATCGGACCTTGTGACAGACATACCAACATCATGGAAGATTTCCAAGGAAGACTATTTTCCATGATCTCTACACCTGCATTTGCATTGCAAAATAATCTTTACTACAATAAATGTTGGTTATTTGCTTCCAAAAGGGAAAACAAAAACAAAATTGTTCAAACTAAATATTTTTACAATATATATGGATGTGAGGTTTTTTTGAAAAGACCTTTCAGTGGAGGCTACTACAATTAATTAGTTGGGACTTTGACCAAAACATCTGTGAATACTGCTGTCTTTCTTAATGTATGATTCTAGAACAGTACAACACTATTGTATATTCCTAAATACAGAGATCTCCAACTCCCCAGGACATATACTAACCACCAATCTGTGATAAATATTTCTTCTTTTGCCTCTTCCATTGCATTTGCCACATCTTCAAAATATCCTTTGGCATTAACATACCTGAAAGACACGTTTTCTGTTTCATTTTTTTTAACCAAAAAGATAAAAAAAGAAATCTATCATATGGCAAAACAGAAGATGGAAGCCACTGCCTAGAATCTCTACAAAACCACCAGCTTACTTTGTATAACTGGAAACAAAGACTGAAAACAGCATGTTCTGTTTGCTAGGCAGGAAGTACAGTAAATAGACAGAAGTAGGCAACCTGACTCTTTTCTGATGAGAGAATAACAAATTGAATGCTCTCATCATTGTATGAGGTCAGATGCACTCTCCCACTCTACTGAACTCACACACCATTGTTCTTCTGAGACTGAAAACAGACCATTTTCTAACCCATGGGTAGAATAACATGCTAAGCAAAATTTTATTTAAAAGAAATGCCTACCAAGTAAATTTCTTTCTTAAATTATGGCTAATGACTTAAATAAACTTTTCATTTGCATCATTAAGAAAATGTATGAAGCTAACTTTTAAAATCAAACTTCACAATCTAAAGCTAGCTATCTAAAGTTCATTTTTTAAAAAAATCATAAAAACAAAAAATGGAAAAATAATCTATGTTCAGTAGTCCTATAAAGGCTCTTGGGAAGTATAACACATAATATTTTTTCGCAGCTTCGAAAATTGATTCTGGGTGAACTTAGACCACTGTAATATTAAATGCTAATATTAAATATTAAAGACTATGACTACCTTCATAGTCTTAGAGCAAAAAGATCTTACCATTTAGCTAAAGTGTTCTCTTGGATAGCAGCATATGACCCAAATCGATGATCTTTGAGAAAGTCGGGGCCATACTTTTGGATGAATTCTTCTATAGCCCCTCCCCACCACCGAGCATGTCTATAGCTGTTGCATTTTAAAATCAGTGTCCTTCAAAGAAAAGCAAAATATGGAAAAGAATGGTCACTTTATGCTCTATCTCTTTAAACAATTTAAGAATTAAACATGTCCCATTTGTTTTGGTACTGCAACAAAGAAAATTTTAGACGAAGAGCATCCTACTGATATGAAAAAAGCAGACTTTTAAATGGTTTTGACAGTATTTACAAATATATTCAATGTAGCAAAAACAAACTTTCAGGTTACTTATTCCCTCATTCACTTATGCAAACATATGTAAAGGCCTGGAGCTAACTGGGCCAAGCTGTGAGGAAGACATGGAAGAGGCATAAAGTGAGGTCCTACATCTAAGTCTTAGAAAACTACGGGTTCCTGTACAGGACATTTCCCTTTGACCCACCTGGTGTCCATTCCCTCAGCCTCTGGAAATAGCCTGATCATCCCGTGCCTTCTCTGGGTCTACCAAACCCCCCAAAATGGCATACTCCAGCTCCTGATTCCAAAGACTGGTTCAAGGATGCTATTCATAAGCCAACTCCACCCAAAAAGTGAAAATAAAATCAAGGACTTGCTCAGAAATGCCAGCAGGAGACTCTTCCCCTTCCACTAAACTTGGTTTGAGTGTAAGAGGCAGCCATCTTGCTACTACCAGGAGACCAGCCTGAGGATGGAGCAGATTCCAGGAGACAGAGTTGAGAAACTCCAGGAAAATGCACCTCAATGACATAGCTGGAGCCCTGTAATGAGCCATGGTTAACATATCTGATTAACTACTTCTGATGTAAACCAGGCGGCACTGGATTTTTTTATTGCCAATGACTAAATGATCCTAACTGGTTACAGATTTGTTTGTTAGTGCTGAAAAAAAAATTCAAAGTGGCGATTACAAAAAGTTATTACACAACAAATGCCAGAGTAGGTGACTACTACTAAGAGGTGGAAATAAGTTATCCAAATTTGAAGTTCAGACAAACCAAGGTGTGGGAACTCCCTGGCAGTACGGTGGTTAGGACTCCATGCTCTCACTGCCAGAACTCCAGGTTCTATCCCTGGTCAGTGAAATAGGAATCTGTATGTCTCCAGGAACTGCCAAAAGGGAAAAACAACAACAACAACAACTAAAACCCAGAGAAAACAAGGTATTGAAGCCAGCAGTCTCCCTGCCATTTAGGCAGAAACTTGCCCCAGTAGAGGACCTGTGCTGTGAGTGAGCAGGGAGTGTTTGCTTTGGGGAGAAATGTAATGAACCTGATAAGAAGGAGGGAAGGGGCTATATGCACAGACCCTAAAATAATTATTTACAAAGATTAGGGATGTCCAAATTGGTCCCCTTGATATGTCAGAGACTGATGCTTGGCTTTTGTCTGGGGTGTAGGGAGGGGCGAGGTGAGATATGGTGGTGCTGGGAGGAGTGAGGCATTCTCCATCGGCCGCAGCAGGCAGACATGGGGTTCTGCAGAGCGGTCCCCAGGGCACAGAAAATGCCTGGGTTTGACCCAGCATGCAAGCACTGCTCCAACTGAGCTGAAATGCCTCTGAAAACCAGCTATGAGAAAAAGATATTGTAGAAGAGATAAAGGACAAACAGAAGTCTTATCACAGGAAGTGAATCAGAGGTAAGGAAAGAAAAAAAGGACCATTCCAAACAGAGAGGTAGAAAGAAGAAGGGTGACATTAAGAAATGTGTGAGGAGGGGTGTGAAGGGAACCATCCCTAAAGAACTGAACAACTGCTTTAGGGAGGGATTGTCAAATGAAGGTAGAGAGATAAAAGGCCTTAGATAGTAAATGGAGGAATTTGGGCTTACTTGATACAAGGAGGGGGACCGCTTACACCAGAGAGGGAGCAGATGAAACCTGGATCTGTATGGATTCATTTGGCAAGGGTGCACAAGCCAGTGAGGACAGGAAATGGAGATAAGATGGCCAGTAAGGCAACCGCTACAGCGACCAATGAAAACTGTGGTCTGATTTCTATGGTCCTCCAGAAGACAGGAAGTAGTACCAGGAGGGAGGTGGCTTTTTTTTTTTCTGGCTACACTGTGTACCTTGTGGGATTTTAGGTCCCTGATCAGGGATTGGACTCAGGCCCTTGGCAGTGAAAGCACAGAGTCCTAACCACTGAACTGCCAGGGAATTTCCAGGAGGGAGATTTAATGGCAGCATCATTATATTTCCAATAACACCCTGAACCTCCCATTGTCTGAGATTGGGAAGTTCAGCATTTTTCACACACACACACACACACACACACATGCAAACATATTAGTATGAGTAGTATATTTATATTAAATATATATATATATATATTTGATGTCAGTCAGTGTGTATAGAGAGAAATGTATTGTTGTTGTCATTGTTCAGCTCACTCAGTCAAGTCCGATTCTCTGAGACCCCATGGACTGCAGCAGGCCAGGCTTCCCTGTCCTTCACCATCTCCCAGAGTTTGCTCAAACTCATGTCCATTGAATTGGTGATGCCATCCAACCATCTCGTCTTCTGTTGTCCCCTTCTCCTCCTGCCTTCAATCTTTACTAGCATCAGGGTCTTTTCCAAAGAGTCAGCTCTTTGCATCAGGTGGCCATAGTATCAGAACTTCAGTTTCAGCTCAGTCCTTTCAATGAATGTTCAGGGTTGATTTCCTTTAGGAGTGGCTGGTTTGATCTCTTTGCAGTCCAAGGAACTCTCAAGAGTCTTCTCCAACGCCACAGTTCAAAAGCATCAATTCTTCGGTGCTCAGCCTTCTTTATGGTCAATTCTCACATGCATACATGACCACTGGAAAAACCATAGCCTTGACTAGACGGACCTTTGTATATCTCTATGTATTCATACGGGCTTCCCAGGTGGCTAAGTGGTAAAGGATCTGCCTGCCAAGGAGGTGATGTGGGTTCAATCCCTGGGTCAGGAAGATCCCCTGGAGCAGGAATGGCGACCCACTCCAGTATTCTTGCCTGGAGAATTCCATAGACAGAGGAGCCTGACGGGCTACAGTCCATGGTGTCACAAAAGAGTCGGATGCAACTTAGGAACTAAACAACAAAAATATATTCATATACCTGAGCCTGAACTTTACAGAGACAAATATATATATATATACATATATATATATATATATTAGAGAGAAAAAGACACACATATATTGTATAACCACAACCTTTCAGAAAGAAACATTTATCAACACACACACAAACTCACTAATAAAATCTATAATAATTGTACAGTTGAATATCCTTCAAGGTATCTTTTTAAAAATCTGTATGTAAACAGAATTTTTATAATCAAATCACTTTGTACTTGTTTTATTAATTAAAGGGTATCCATTTATAAAGTAAAATTCTACTTTTAAAAAACAAAATCTATTACTCCTTATCTGTTTGGTAAATTGGTATTATTGGGTAGTCAATTTTGTTAAATCAGGCATATATTTTGTTAAAACAGGCACACAGCAATACATGGTATCATTTATTCTGACTCTTGCATATAGGATACTCTGCATCTTAAAGATATAAAAAAAGTAGTTTCATTACTTTTAATTGAGGATGAGTTCTAAACAATAATTTTGTAATACCTAAATTATTTTACCTTCTTCTTCACTTAATGTTGGGAGAAAAACTGTTTTTAGAGAAATCTTTTAAAAATCTTTCCAAATTCTACCTTGAAAGATTATCAATTCGGAGTCCATATTTCGTCTCTGTCTCCTTCCTCCCCACCTTAACTCTGAATTCTTTATCCACCAGCAGGACGAAGGCAATAGCACCACTGTCTGGTTTCATATACAGTAAAAAGGAATCTTTTACTATCAACCACCTGTAAGAAGGAAATACATATTTTTGAAGTTGTACTGAATCACTGAAACAAAGGGAACACGTTATTATGACAAGTTTGAAGTAAGCACTCTAGCAGACAGTAAGCATAATTTTATCTTTTACACCAGGGATCTATTTTTTAAAAATATGAAAACATTATGAAACAGAAAAACAATATAAAAATCTTCCTATTATGTTTCCCTGAGAAGTACTGGTACCAAGCAATTCAAGACGATGCACTGGCCCTTTAAACACTAAAGGCAAAGCCTGGAAGGATGTCCCTGATGTGGGTGGGCAGTGCTCACAGGATGCACAGCAGGAACCAAAGCTGTTAGAAAAATGGGATGGGTTAGTGTTTGCTAAAATAAACCGTCATGGAAGAGGCAACTGAGTCTCTGAGTAAGTGAAAATTCCCCTTTAAAAAAATTCAATAAGCATCCAGGTCTCTGCATATTGTTCATTTCAAATTATTGGTGGTTTAAGGACCATTAATAAATGATGCTCAGTGGAACATGATCTTTCAAAAGTATATCTGCAATCAATTCAATATATTTTTAAGAGCTCCACGATGGAAAAGTACAGTGATAAACTGGGAGTTAGAGCAGAGGTAGAAATCGCACAAAGATAAACCAGACATGTTTTCGAAGGAACTTAATAGGCTGGTGGGGCACAATAACAATGCTAGGCTGAATGGGATAGGTATTAAAGGAGGAACGCAGAGAGAGATGTGTGTAAGGAAGGTGTTTTCAGTTCTAAGAGAAGGAGCTAGTGGCATTTCTCAAAGAAGTGTTGTCTGAGCAAAACCAGGAAGGAGCCCAACAAGCAGAGCCCAAACAGGTAGTCCAGGTGTACATCCCACATGGAGGGAAGAGTTAGCACAGGCACCAAGGCTAGGGATGCTGCCTGACTGGGGACAGTCTGGGGAGGCCAGGGTTTCAGGAAGTGGAGCAGATGAGGTGTAGGGAGTGGGGTAGGGGCCTGGCAAAGGTCACACTGAGGAGTCTGAAGGCCACGTAGGTAATAGCAGTCACCTGCAATTGTGTAGTGGTCAAATGAATTGGTTGATAATTAAAGAAACAAACAATGGTAATATTATATCACATATTAGGCAACATAAAGCATGTTATGAAATAGGTAGGGCCAGAATACCTTAACATAAATGAACAAATATTGTAAATGTAACACATGAACTCAGAAGTTAAAGGAAACCTATAACAAATCATTACTGAAATTGCTAACCACATTACATTTTAGTGGCTCTCTAATTTGGGATTTAATGTAGACAATCTACATTGATTTCCACATGGTTTCATTTAATTGGTTCTTTAATATATAGGCTGTCTCCTTTCCAATTAAAGGGGGTGGGATGGATTTAGGATAACACGGTAAAGGTCATACATGTGTTAGGATTAACAAAAGGGAAAACATCAAGGTCAGAGAAAGGAAATGTCTAACCACAACACTAATATAATTATGGTAATGACACACTAATGTGGGTTTGAGCTTCCTGGCTTTTCTTTTTTTTTTCATTTATTTTTATTAGTTGGAGGCTGGTTTTTCTTAAAAAATGAATAAATTAAGGAAATAAAGAAGTCGCCCAACAAAAAGATAAATTCCAAAGAAAGTTTCTTGCTTGGAACCTAATATAAAGCAACTGAACAATATTAATGGATAACACTCTCAATAGATTTCAGAAAATGCAAAAATTCATGTTTTATAAGAATTCTCTTAACACAGCTCAATATAACTGCCAAGGCCATGATATCAAAGAGAAACTCAGTCATTCTGATGGGGCTGAGTTATGAGTTACATGTAACTGCTTGTTAATGAAAAGTCGGTCAAGATTTAAAGACAGTAGACAGATCATGTATCTGTTAAAGGTCCTTCTTTAGCTGTGGTCCCTCATCCCAGCTTGACTTTCTACGTAAGCTAGAGAGCAGATGGCAGGGCACAGGCCCAGAGCAGCAGTGTGCTACGTTGCTGACCAGGAAGGGGCCACAGGCTTTGAAAACCACAGCTGGTGGGTTTGTCAAACTGAGAAGGAAAAGTCAAACATACCGGACTTGGGAATTTGTCTAGAAGTCAAGGTCACCTGAATGGAATCAGACCCAGCTCTGGCCAGAGCTACACACCAGACACAACAGTGAGGGATGAAGAAATACGAAGTGTTTAGTAGTGACTGCTGGATTTTGAAATCTGAAGGCAAAAGATAATGGTTTCTGTTTTGACGATGATGAGTTGTCCTCTGTAACAGTTGTTAGATATAAGGTGAATTGATGCCTGGCCTTTGTTTAAAGCTCTTCTTAACTATGCCATTCATTAAACATCTTCTTGTTTCTCCTCTTTGTCTCTTTTGTCAATAGACTTTTTTTTTAACAGGAGGATATGCATCAAGAAAGGAATTCATCAAGCAGTCTTCTGAGAGTCAGCACCTGCTGCTCAGGGATTAAATGTCTGCTTGAAGCCAGCCCCCCTGGGCTCCAGTTTTGGTTCTGTCACTTGCCCTTTTCTGTGAACTGGGGTAACTGAGCCTAAGGTCTAAATCCATAAAACAAGGGTAACAGTAACGTCCAGCTCATAAGTATTTTTGAGGATTCACTGAGATGACGTAAGGATGTTGCTTAGCACAATGCCTGGAGCCAATAAATGTGAGCTTTCATAAATTCTCTTGTTCTATACCAGGTGAGATTATGGTCTGTTCTAACAAGATATGACCTGTTCTACTACAAACTGTGTCATTAAAATGCAGATAGAGCCACCTAGGTCACATGTCACCTTCTCAGCCTCATCTCACACTCTTCCTTCCCACCACGTTGGTCTCACTGGTCCTGAGACGTGTTAACCTTCTTCTCTGGGCTTCTCCATTTGCTCTTCCTCACTTATTTCTTCCAGATCCTCCCATGAGCAGTCCCTTCCTGTCAATCAACCTTTTGCTTAAATATTTCTCCACGGGAAGGTTTTCCTGGGCTCCCATCCCACCCGCCTCTGCATCCTGTTTAGCTTCTTCACAGCACTTATCACTGTCTGGAACTATTTATTTGTCTGCTTGTTTCTTGTCTTTCCCTTACTAGAAAGTGAGATCCTTGAGAACAGGGAATGTGTTTCATGTCCACTGGTATCTCCCCAGGGCCCAGACAAGTTCTTCAGCAAAGCAACACTCTTGCCTGAATAACAGCTGCATAAATGGATCACGGAGAGTAAATAAAATCATTTAGATGTGGTCACTGTCTAAAAATTGTAATTCTTGGTATAGTTTATAGTTCAGTAAATGCTAAATTTATTTCTTATAAATTATCTCTTATTTGAGATAAGAAGTTTATCATTGAGCCCATCAACAGGATGTGCTGTTTAAGTAGATGTTTTAAATCGAGGGAAGAAATGCTTACTGTGTTCGCCAGCAGAACAGAAGAAATTTTTTTTTTTCTTTTCTTCATACTTGTGCCTGAGACTTGGTTGAAAGTTTGATTGCCTTGTTTGCCTTATGTCAGTTTGTCAATACAGAATATACAAAATGATCAGAATCTTTTTTTTTACTGGATATAAAAATTTAAAAAAGAGCTATGACCAAGTGTTGCCCTTAAAAGTAACTCTCATTTAGACACCAATAGTCTTCTCCTGTGGGAAATTTTTCAAACAAAATTCATCAGCTACATCTTATCATTTTTGTTTGGTACTGACATTTTATACCCCATAATGTAACTCAGGAAATACTTATTAATATGGAACCAAGGCTTCAAGTTTCATGGAAAGATTTATACAATTTAAAATGAAGAGACATTTTATTCTAGGGAAGATCATATCCTTTTAGATGGTTCTGATTGAAGTCTGATATGCGTGTTCAGTCACTCCAGTTGTGTCCGACTCTTTGCAACACCATGGATTGTAGCCCACCAGGCTCCACTGTCCATGGGATGCTCCAGGCAAGAATACTGGAGTGGGTTGTCATGCCCTCCCCCAGGGGACCTTCCTGACCCGGGGACTGAACTCACATCTCCTGTCTCCTGCACTGTAGGCAGATTCTTTATCCACGGAGCCACCAGTGGAGACTGAAATCTGATATATCAGACTTTAAAAGCAGGGGGAGGGATATTTCCTTTATATAACAAAGCCTCCCGCTTCTATCTTTTCGGGCTGCCCCTTCTCACAGAGGTTACAACTCAAAGGTCAGTTCGTTGACTTCTGTAGCGAAAGCCTCCGTCTGAAGTCCTCACGTCCCTGACTGTCCCATCACCTTCTTTTTCCTTCAAAGCTCTGATCAGCACTTGCGCTACTGTCATTCACCCTGCTTGTCAGCTTCTCCACTGTCTCTGATCTCCTCCAATAGATTCTCACAGAGGTTACAACTCAAAGGTCAGTTCCTTGACTTCTGTAGCAAAAGCCTCCGTCTGAAGTCCTCACGTCCCTGACTGTCCCATCACCTTCTTTTTCCTTCAAAGCTCTGATCAGCACTTGCGCTACTGTCATTCACCCTGCTTGTCAGCTTCTCCACTGTCTCTGATCTCCTCCAATAGGTGCTCTGTGAGGGCAGGAACATGGCCTTCTTCACCACGGCTCTCACAGTGGCTAGAACACAGCCTGGCAAACATTAGGCACTCAATGAATGACAAAATGGACCAGATCCAGGCTTCCATTGCTTGCGTCGATGTCTTAGGTTGGGTTGCTCTAGAAGTCCACTCTGAGACAAGGATGGACGTGAGAGAGCTTCGTAGGGAGCTTAGTAGGAAGCAGCGGAAGGGAAGGGCGGGAAGGAAGAGCGGGAAGGGAGCCATCGAGGATGTGTTTTCACGCACTGGATTGTGGGCAGCGGGGCTGCACATCTCCCAGGGAACCCCGGGGGACAGTGCAGAGTTTGCTGGAGAATCACCCTGCCTGAGGGGTGAGGGGGCTGGACTCGAGCCAGCTCTTGGCTGAAGGTTGTTCCTAGGGGCTGCGAATGCCTCCAGCCTACTCTGCGCAGGCAGCCCAGAGCAAGCCTCCAGTCAGACTCACCAGTGCTTGCAGCCCCAAATCCATACTTAACACTTAGGCAAAGCTGATGCCCAGGGAGTAGGCAAGAGGAATCTGGGCCAGGGCCCCACTGGCTTGGAGGCCCTGCCTCCCCGAGAGGCATGGTGTGGCGCAGGGAGCAAGGGCGGGAAGTGAAAGTGCTGATTGCTCGGTCCTGTCCAACTCTTGGCGACCCAGTGGACTGGAGCCTGTCAGGCTCCTCTGTCTGTGGAATTCTCCAGGCAAGAATACTGGAGTGGGCTGCCATTTCCTTTTCCAGGGGGTCTTCCTGACCCAGGGATAGAACCCAGGTCTCCTGAAATTGCAGGCAGATTCCTTACCAGGGAAGTTCATAGGGGCAGGAGCAGGCTGGCTTATGCTCTGCTCCTCTCCTGGGTTCTGTATCACTGTAAGTAGGAGGGTGGGAAGCTACTTCAAGTGGGAGTCTCCGAATTTCCTGTGATGTCACTTATACCCCAAGTTTCTGGGCACATTTAAATAAACTACAGATGTTTATTTGAAAACAAATATTGTCTAGTCTACTAGTACCCTGTTGATTGTAGTTAAAAAATGTTTTGTTTTTTGTAATACAGAAATTCTCAGCTTCCTCTGGCTTAATCTCTTGATCTTTCCCTTGTAATTTCTTCTATTCTTTAAAAACCCAGAAAATAAGAAACCAATCTAATGGTATTTTTGGCTAGCAGTGTATCTGAAATACATGTTTAAAGATTCTAGTTTTAAGCTTATATATCTTCAGCTCACACATAATTTAATTTCATCTTTACATGAGTTCATATTTTTTTTCAAGGTTAGAAAAATAACAAATATCTCTTAATAGTTTTTAAAATTCCAGTAAATTATTATTGAAACAAATAGCTGTTGTCTATTATGTTAAAACATTGTCACAGATGCTTTGAGGAACAAATAAGAATGAGATAAGAATATTCCTTTATAAGGAGTCTTTAGTTGGACAGGACATAGGACATGAATTAAAGTTTTCTGTCTATATCACACTTGCCATAATATACATCCTCACAAATATAACTCTAAAATTACTCCTGAGCACTACCTTTTTTTGGTTTATTTTTTATGTATAGTTTAGTGGGTCTTAGTGTATTTTAGTTTACTATATTTGTAAATTTGCATGTTGTCACCATTAATATCTAATTTCAGAATATTTTCATCACCCAAAAAGAATTCCACATCCAAATGCAAACTAGTACAGCCACTCTGGAGAACAGTGTGGAGATTCCTTAAAAAACTGGAAATAGAGCTGACATACGACCCAGCAATCCCACTGCTGGGCATACACACTGAGGAAACCAGATCTGAAAGAGACACATGGACCCCAATGTTCATCGCAGCACTGTTTATAATAGCCAGGACATGGAAGCAACCCAGATGCCCATCAGCAGACGAATGNGGTGGGAAGGGGGGTCAGGATGGGGGACACATGTACACCCATGGCTGATTCATGTCAATGTATGGCAAAAACCACCACAATATTGTAAAGTAATTAGCTTCCAATTAAAACAAATAAATTTTTTTTTTTAAAAAGAATTCCACACCCAGTAGTAGTAACTTCCCATTCCCCTTGTGCTACAGCCCTTGGAAACAATGAATATACTCTGTCTCTACAGATTTACTTATTCTAAACCTTTCATGTGAATGGAATCATATAATATGTGACCTTCTGTATCTGTTTCTTTTTCACTTAGTGTAATGTTTCCAAGGTTAATTCATACTACAACATTTATCAGTCTTTCATTTCTATTTTTCATTAAAATTAAAAAATATTCAAATATAATTCAAAAACCATAAAATTCACCCCTTGAAAATGTACAATTTAGTGGTTTTAATATATTCAAAAATTTGTGCAACCATCATGGCCATCTAATTCCAGATATTTTTCAGAAATAAATCCCACACCCATTAGCATTCTTCATTCCTTTTTATGGACAAATAATATTCCATCATAGGGCTGTACCATATTTTGGTTAACCACTCATCAGGGGATGGACATTTGGACTTTTTACACTTTTTGGCTACTCTGAATAATGCTGCTATGAACATTCATGAATAAGTTTTAATGGAAATATATTTTTTCAGTTCTGTTTGGAAATATCTGGGGTATGTGGTAACTGTATGTTTAACATTTTGAGGAGCTGCCACTCTGTTTTCCAAACTGGCTGGTATCATTTTACAAGATGCACCAGTAATACATGAGGATTCTAATTTCTCTACAGCCTTGTCAACACTTGCTATTGTCCAATTTGCTCATCACAGCCATCCTGGTGGTTGGGAAGTTGTAGATCACTGTGGTTTTGATTTATCTTCCCCTAGTGACTAGTGATGTTAAGCATGACTTGTGCTAATTGGCCACTGTCTATTTTCTCTGGCTGACCAATTTTTGAACCATATGGCCCATTGGGTCTTTATGTATGTAATTGGCATACTCTGCTTACAAGTGCAATTTTGAGTAGAGTGTTTAAATAGAGCTGAAATCTGGAACTTAAAAATAATGTAAAATTTGCTCTGCCATGACTTTCAAAGATCTACAATTGAAAACTAGAATATAAAAACTCCCTAAATACTCAGTTTATTAAGACAAACACACAAAACTCTGAAGTCTCACCTCTTTGCCCACCGATAGCAGGCTCTCCCCTGGCCACAGCAATTCAGGCCTGGTATTCTGTGTCCTCCAGATCTTTTCATTATCATACCTTCTCTGAAAGAGACATCAAGTTAACTCATCATCTTTAAACTTCCAGTGCACACTTAGCTGATATAGCCTCATAACTGGGAACTAAATAAACTCTTCTGTTCTCCCATGCCCTTCCTCTCTACTTTTTCTGCTTTCACTCTCAAATAGATCAATGCTATGCTTACTAGGCTGAGAACTCCTGCAGCCAATCTTTAAAAGCACCCTGGTGGAGGTAGGCCTGTTGGCACAGGGGACAGCATACTGCACACACAGCAGGACCCTGAGCATCCCAGCTTCTGGCTCTAAATGCTGAGCATTCCCTCCAGCCACCATCATGGCCTGAAAAAGACCCCACATGTTGCCAAATGCCGGCATGGGGAAGGTTCATCTGCTATGGAGATCATTGACAATGCTCACCCACAGATTCCAGGGTATTTCTGCATCCCTTCACCTACAGTTCTAGGACCAATCCATGTCAAAGAAGTAAAGCAAAGCTATTACTTTGGAAAGAGAAATATCCTAACTCTGAAAGATGTGAAAAGAAAAAAACAATAATAATGGCCAGCCAACAAACAAAAATTAAAAGAACTACCAACAATGTTCTTGACTAGAAAAGTTAAACTCTTTGTAATATCAAGCTCTCATTTCATGAAGGATGTGATCAGTCGCTCAGTTGTGGCCAACTCTTTGCAGCCCCATGGACTGTGGCCCATCAGAAGATAATCTGTTCTCCCATGCCCTTCCTCTCTACTTTTTCTGCTTTCACTCTCAAATAGATCAATGCTATGCTTACTAGGCTGAGAACTCCTGCAGCCAATCTTTAAAAGCACCCTGGTGGAGGTAGGCCTGTTGGCGCAGGGGACAGCATACTGCACACATAGCAGGACCTTGAGCATCCCAGCTTCTGGCTCTAAATGCTGAGCATTCCCTCCAGCCACCATCATGGCCTGAAAAAAACCCCACATGTTGCCAAATGCCGGCACGGGGAAGGTTCATCTGCTATGGAGATCATTGACAATGCTCACCCACAGATTCCAGGGTATTTCTGCATTCCTTCACCTACAGTTCTAGGACCAATCCATGTCAAAGAAGTAAAGCAAAGCTATTACTTTGGAAGGAGAAATATCCTAGCTCTGAAAGATGTGAAAAGAAAAAAACAATAATAATGGCCAACCAACAAACAAAAATTAAAAGAACTACCAACAATGTTCTTGACTAGAAAAGTTAAGCTCTTTGTAATATCAAGCTCTCATTTCATGAAGGATGTGATCAGTCGCTCAGTTGTGGCCAACTCTTTGCAGCCCCATGGACTGTGGCCCATCAGAAGATAGTCATTAAGTAAATTTCAATCTTGTTATGTAACATACATTTTATACAGTATTACTTTTAGTCAATAAAATAAATGATAAATAGCTAATTTTTATGTGATAAAAAGAAGGGATCTTGTATATTTGATTTTTAATGCATTCTCGCACACATCATATTTGTTCTCTCTGTTAAACACCCACTACTGTGGGCTAAGAGGAGAAGGAGTGCGGAGCAGTAGGCACCCTTGTTTAATGTAGCAAAATACTCTGTTTTGTATAAATAGGTCCCTCAGTTGCTCTGACTCTGTTGGGAAGAAAACAGTGAAGCCAGGGGAGCTCCATCACCTTGGTATACCAATAAACCAAAGGCTACAATGCTCATCAACTTTTCATACTTCTCCTTAGAGATCCAATACTGAAACTTACATGCCCTTTGGTCCCAAATCATGGATGAAAGACAGCTGGCTTATATCAAGAAATTCTGTCTGAAAAGAGGCCAAAAATCCAGACGTTAGAAAGCAAAAAAAGAAGAGGAAAAATTTAGGCATTCAAAAAATATTATATACCTCCATGTATGAGCACATCTGGGGTACTCTACAGATTACACAGATCACAATGGCACTGCCCTGAAAAAGTATTTTTTAGAAGGATATACACAATTAAAACACAACCAAGATAGTGATGTGTGCTCTAAGATGTAGAGACAAAATGCTCAAGAAGGTCACGGTGAGACCTGTCAACAATAGTAGACCATGTCAATAGAGCCTTAATAGAAAATCAAAGACAAAAAGACACACTCTGGGCATTAGGAGGCAGAGGAGAGACCAGACACAGAAAACAGTCCACATCAATCAAGTTCTGTGGGAAGAACCGTAACATTACACGTAAAAGCAGTTATTAATAGAGGTGCAGAGAGAGGATGACTGCTTCCTAGCTAATGGGACATCACAGAGGAAATGGCGTTTGATCTGGGCTTATAAATGGGATTAATAAAATGAACTATAACAATTTTCCTTTGAAGTTTTGTTTATGTGATTGTGACTGCCTCATATTAACCTTGTAAGAAAAAGTTACACATCTCTCAAAGCTGTCAGTCCTGTGAGGTCCAATTGATTTTCTTTCTTAGGGTGATTGGAAGAAGTCTTTAAAATTCAAAAGGATTTAAATATCTTTAAAAACCTCAGATCAAACATATCCTCACATAGCACTTTCTATAAGGATTTTGAAAGTCAAGGTCTTTATATTTTATTTCTTATATCAAACATGGTGATTCGGTACCATACATTTTAAAATTCTGATTTGTGGAAATGCATTCTAATTGGAAAATATAGAAATACATAGGTTATTAGAAATGATATTGCAGACTTTAAGCTGTAGAATTTGAAATGTCTTGAAATCCTCAGCCAGAATTTCTCATTTTATCTCTAGGGAGCAGAGAGAAAAATACTAATCCTAGTTTATACTGGAAGAAACTTCTCTAAAGGTGTAACTAATTTATGCAAAGTCAGAGACTAGCTGAACGGAAGAATAGGAAATGAAAAGCAAAAATCAGGGAAACCATTCATCTAACACTTGGATATTTTCTTATGCATATATAGCTACTATCAAATCATTGACAACAGGAATATTATTTAAATAATTCAGAAACCATAACTTCAGAATATCATACAGAAGTTGCTAAATGTAGAGAATTTCATCTAAATAAAAAAACACATGTTAGCAATGCGGGAAATTTAAGGCTGTGTATTAAGAAAAAATTCAAATTTATCCTAATGTTTTACTAAAGAGAAATTTGAATAAAGAACTAGAATTATTATATAGAATAAAAGTCCTTGGCAATAAATTTTCTAATATAGATTTATGGGATTGAAAACAAATGTAACCAAGTCAATTTAGAAACAAACCTAAATAGTACAATTTGAAATTTAACAAACATTGTATTGTCCAAATATCTCAATGCATCTTCAGTGATAAAAATCCCATTTGCGACTTAAGCAGGCGAATCTCAGGAATAAGAATTTAATGATTAATTTAATCTGACAATATTCCATTGGGTTATTGATCTCTAAATAATGTACTAATCAATATCCTTTGTCTTTCCAAAGGAACTTGTTAAATTTAAATGCTAGGAAAATAGGGGACCAAAGGGTTCCCATGCCAAAGGACAAGCAACAAACCCAGGAGATGATAATATCTCAAAATTTCTGGAGCTTGTCTTATGCTTCTAAAAATATAAATTAATTATAGATGATTATATGAAAATGATTTTAATATTTCTATCTGCTTTTTGCAGACAGAAATTTGAATATGTCTCACAATTATCAAAAGGGACACACGGATGCCAATCTAATTTCACAAGTATCAGGCAGAGCCCTGCAAGCTAGTCTCTGAGTCAGATTATCATTAGTGTGAGAGGAAAATAATGTTCAGACAGATAAAATTGTATCCTACGCTTGAAGCCTTTTGGAGAATACCGCTACTGGGGAGAATACTCTAAGTAGCCATTAAAATGAGGGCGTTCCCTGGCAGTCCAGTGTTTGGGACTTGGTGCTTTCACTGTTGGGGCTCCGGATTCAATTCCTCGTAGGGGAACTAAGGTCCTGCAAACCAGGAGGCATGGCCAAAAAATAAAATTGAATAAATATGTGTTACTTCTCAATTTTTTAAAATCAGTTGTAACTAGGTTTCCCTTCACAAAGGAAACGTTTAGAAGACACTCTGGAGAATCTAAATACAACATGGCTCAGCTTTTAAAAGATTTTTATGATTAGAAAGGAAGTTAATGTGAACATTTGAATAAAAGTAAACGCTTTAAAATCAACATTAGACTCCCATTTTTAGTAATAATAGAAGTAACATCCTTATTCATGACGTTCTTTCAAAGAAGCACATTCCTGAGTTCTAGAAGGGAAGAAGTATTTCCCATCAGCCTTCTCTTGAAAGTCTCTGGTTGAACCCAAATTGCTGGCTTCCCTGGGAGAACTCTTCTTCCGGATTATGAGACCACAGAAGCTCCTTTAAGACCATCACATGTCACAGTGAAAGCTGCTGCAGAAGGTTTTCCAGCACCAGGTCATTTGTGTGTAACGGGGACCAGCTAGGTGCAGGGCCTGACCGTCTCCAAATAACAGAAAGGCAGGCATCTACAGGGCAGCAAGAAAACTCCGGATGGTCAAGGCACTCTTGCTTCCTTCCTAAATACAGAGGACTTCGCTCTTTCTGTTCACCTGTTCATGCTGTTCTCTAAACCAGAGGCCGGATCATAACCGCACCTACTCTGAAAGTCTGCATATACACCATATACACATGGTCACGCTCCACAGCAGTATAGTTTATACAAGCACAGGTGCAGACTCTAACAATCCAGTGTCCTCTCCATGATGTGAACCTTTGGATAACTGAAGCTAACCCTTTAAATATTTAACCCCACCTTCAAGGGCCTCTAAAGGCAGAGCTCATTGCTTTCTGATGCCTTCTGTAAAGCCCACTTCCTCCGCTTGCCACGTAAGTGCCTCCCAAATGTAAGCCCTGCAGCAGTTTCTAAGCCCCACCACCTCTCCTCTCTTTTCTCAGGATTCTCAAGAGTTTTTCCTCTCCTTAGCGTTTCCCATGCTTCTCACTTTCACATGAAAAGACAGGACTGATACAGGCATCACCGGCCCGTCAGACGGTAATTACAGTATGCTCCGTACAATCTTTGGGTATTCAACTCTGTTCAGCTGTCTTCATCACTTAGTACTCAATGTTTATTTCCTTCAGTGTTAGAAATGCATTTTGGCATTTTCTCCTCTGAAAGCCTGAGGAGTGAAGGAGGTTGATTTCTAGATAATCTAGTAGCATTTCTAGATAATCTTTAGGAGTATTTCAAGTTCATCTAAATTTATTGTTATATTAATTATCATAGTTGATATTTTAAAAATAGCATTACCTTAAACTGGATCCTCACTGTCAAATCAATTTTGTTTTCCTATTTTTTAATTTTATTTTTTTACCGAAGGATAGTTGATTTATAATGTCATGCCAATCTCTGCCGTACAGTAAAGTGATTCAGTGGTGCACATATAGACATTCTTTTTTAAAATACTCTTTTCCATATGGTTTATCATAGGAGACTGACTATAGGTCCCTGTGGTGTACAATCAATTTTGTATTGATTTTGTATTGTAAATTGTAAATTGATTTTGTGGTGTAAAATCAATTTTGTATTCATTTTATTTAGCTTAGTTTAACTCAAAGAATAACGCAGAAGTGGATACAAGCACTTGTGTTAATAAAATGATCTAAAATTTAGCCAACACTTTACAATTTTATAAAATTACTTCAGAATTTAAATCACTGCAAAGTACTTACTGTCGCATGATAGTTTCTATACATGGGCATTTTTAGTAACTTCGTCAAGTAATCTTCCAGCTGTTTCTGTAATACATGTACATTTCAGATTAAAGATCCTATCATACTTAAAGGAAAATATAAGCAGTTAATGACAATGGCATGATCCTTCCATCCTCTGTAAGTCATTCAATTATTCATTAATATTATCACTGGACAAGGAACATTGAACACGTCTCTTTCAAAACATAAAAGTTCCAGATTACCAAAAAAACTGACATTTTACAAAAATAATTTTTATTTATTTTATATTTGGCTGTGCTGGGTCTTTGCTGCTGCCTGGGGTTTTCTCTAGCTGGGGCAAGTGGGGGCTGTTTTCTAGTTCGGTGCACAGGCTTCTCATCACAGTGGCTCCTCTCGTTGCGGAGCACAGACTCTAGGGCACTTGGGCTTCAGCAGCTGCGGCTCCCAAGCTCTAGACCACAGGCTCGGTAGTTGTGGCACACAGGCTTAGTTCCTCTGAGGCATGTGGGATCTTCCCAGATCAGGGATTGAACCCGTGTTTCCTGCATTAGCAGGAATACTCTTTACCACTGAGCCACCAGGGAAGCCCCCAACACTGACATTTAATTGTTAATTAAATTTAAAAATGAATTAATCTTCTGCCCTAGGCAGCACCATATCACTGCAGCCGAGTGGGCAGACGTGTCCCCTGTCCTGGGGCGTCTGTCCTGCTGTATGCGTCTGTACTCTGTCCTACTCTTCTCAGACCCTCACTGCTCCATCTATGGTCTGGGAATGAGATTTTACATATATTCAGGATAAACCACTATAGATTCTGAAGCACATATATGGAAATAGATGATTTTAAAAGAGTAGATCTCAAAGCCCTCAACTATTATCTCAATCTTGACTCACAATGAACCCCAGTGAACAGGAAGTGCAGCTTCCCCATAAAGTCACTCCTGACGGACAGCCTGCTTCCTCCTTGGGGGAGTGCAACCTCCCCAGGGCCAGAGTGCCCTGGGGAAGAAGCCTTCCCTAACTAGTTCCCGAGGGGTAAACCAGCCTAGGTGATGGATCGATGGGTAAGAGAAGTTGCACCTCAACCTTCAGTCACTGCCATCTTTCTACAGTGCTGCAGAAGTTTGTTCCAAACAACAGAAGAGTGAAAGGACTTACCCTTCTACTAAAGAACTGTTCTTCTTGCCGGATCATGTTTTCAGATGTGCGGGGCAAAGCTGGCATCTCTCGGGGCTCTTCTTTGACATTCTGTCTTCTAAATGTGTGTCTAAAATGCACACACACACACACACACACACACACAATGTAAACATTTATTATTCTTTGAACCATGACTCTCACAGTATTTTTCATGAGATGGTTTATTTTTAGAAGAGTCTATTTAATAAAAAGAAATATCTAGCAACAATTGACTAGTTAACCAATAATATGAACCAAAATATTCTTTCTATACAACCCATATACTGGGATAATTTTATAATCAATTCTGGGTTACCTTCTCGTGGGAATGGGGATTCGGATAAAGGCTTTGTACTTGAGCAGTTCTCTGTGAAATTCTTGAAAGTGCTTGAACTTCCTCTTCACTTGCCATTTAAATTCCCCATGTGTTAATTCAATAGTGTAAAGATTGACGCTTGGTACCTATAGTGGTAAATAAAAATGGTTGATATTTTAGATAACAACAACATCTCTCTGTGTACAATAGTTAATTAAAAAGTAACACGAAAGTATCTTGAAATCCAGCTTACTTATTTTGTGTAAGGAAGGAAGCAAAATGTTTTTTAAAAAATGACTGATTACAGAAGTAATATTCTCTTAAATATTCATCTTATGATATATGCAAGACAAACTCTGACTTATATCAGAGGCAAACCTCCACAAATCTTATAGTTCTAAATACAAAGACACAGACATATCTCTGAAACAAGGAGCCAGGTAAAAGAGACAATGAGTGACAGCCCTAATTAGCCATCATGAAACTGTCCAGCAGTGAATGCAGGGGGTGGAGGGAAGCTGAAGGAAGTGAGTTCCATTGTGGAGCACAGTCTTAGTGCAGTTTTGCTCTCCACAAATGACACTAACGCCCTCTCCTTCTGAAATGCCTTCAGAGGTCCATCCTGGTCTACAATCGCTCTCTGTCCTTTAGCTACACCAGTGACTAGGAAGGTACAGGATGATTAGAAGGAAAAGGGCAAATGATCTTCCTACACACAAAATATTTCCCAACCACTTAACTAGGATGAATTTCCACTTAACATTTAAAAAATATTTCTTCTTAAAATGCAAATATATCTTGGTGACTAGTGATTCAATCAGAAGCGCTAACAGACCTGAGGGATAAAAGTTTTGGTAAAGCAAGAAGTGTCAGAAGATGGAGAGAGATTTATAGAGCACAGGAGATCTTGAATGTGCCCATGGTGTGTGGGGGGTGGGGGAGGGTAATCGACACTGGACCCCCCTAGAGGACACTGGCCCCTACTGGGAGATCCAGGCCCCATACGTGTTGACAGGTGTTGGGGCAAGAAACAGTAAATGTCTCCTCCTTTGCTAGTTTATCCAGGCTTTGGTATCAGTAACCCCACGGGTGACCAGGCCTGCTGCCATTCATCATCGATGTTTGGTATATTCTGCAAATTTCTAAAGCATGACCACTCTGTATAACTGTAGTATAAAAAAAAATGAGCCTGAAGAGACTTCCCTGGCGGTCCAGTGGTTAAGACTCTGTGCTTATAATGCATGGGGCGCAAATTTGGTTCCTGGCTAGGGAACTAAGATCCCACTGCCCTACTGTGTGGCCAAAAAATAAATTAATTTTTAAAAAATGAGCCCAGAATCAATGTAACTTGTGCTCTTAAGTCTAGAATCCAAACATATCACTGGCAAACACTCAAATCTATTTCCTGCTTTGCCTCCAGTTGGGATCCATGACAACGACTATAGCCAGAAGTCAAAAGGACCCAGTTCTGGGGTCTAATATTATATGCTGCCTTTCACCTTGACCAACATTACAGGCATCACACTGCACTGTGTTTCAGAAAGAAGGATGCAGGAGAACTCAGAGTGACCAGAAACTCTGCATTTAAGTGAAAAATGCTCAATTTAAGACAAGTCAAATTAATGAGAACAATTATACAATTTATGCAAGCTGCCACATACTCTAGGATTATATTTCCCAATCTAAGAAAACTGAATACTAAAAAACTTTACAAATGTCAAGTTCTATCCCTCACACATAAACCGAGAATTTTGGACAATTCTTAGCAATTCTAAGACAGTGTGGGGCAATGGCAACAGCCTGTCCCATCCTTTTTGAAGAATCTAAAGGTCTGAAATTGCCTGGTGCAGCCTACTAGCTATGAAGCCTAACCAAGCATCACTTTGGTCAGATAATATCTCAGCAGAATTATTGGAATACTTTGGAATTGGAATAGTGTGAGAAGTTGTAATAAAGGGACTGACTGCCCATGAAGGTGTGATAAGAGGAAGGAAATCACAATGTGAGGACAGTAACCTGGGACTCAGGAAGGCACACCTCATTTTGAAGGGACAAGGGTAGGACCAGGCGCTGGAGCAGGAAGGAGAGGACCACTTTAAGAGGCTGCCTTGAGGGGGAGCGTGCCTTGGTCAAGGGATGCATCCAGCCCAGAGTGAACCGAGTCTAGGCTCTTCATGGCCAGAGCCCTGCCAGAGGACAAGGGCAAGGGGGTCTTGAGAGGCAGAACAAAGGGAGGGAGGAGGAACTGGAGGGACACGTGGGAGGCCTCCTGCGGGGGAGGGTGGGTAGTAGCATCTGTCCTTAGGGGGCTGTCATGAGAGTGAACAGAGAAGTGCCTACCATGAGCTGGCACACAGAACAGATTCAGTCATAGAAAGGTGTCATTTTTATTTACCTGGAATGACATTCAAACTACATGGAGTCAGTTCATACTTCTTAGTAAACTAAACACTAAGTATGACAAGAAGGATCCTTAGCTTTTCCTACACAGACTAAGATTTAAAACAAAATGTGAAATTAATTAACTCTTGAGAGTCTCTGGGACTTCAAGGAGATCAAACCAGTCAATCCTAAAGGAAATCAATTCTGCATATTCATTGCAAGGACTGGTGCTGAAGCTGAAACTCCAATACTTTGGCCACCTATGCAAAGAACTGACTCATTGGAAAAGACCCTGATGCTGGGAAAGGGTGAAGGCAGGAGGAGAGGGGACGACAGAGGATGAGATGGTTAGATGGCATCACCAATACAATGGACATGAATTTGAGCAAGTTTGGGGAGTTGGTAAAGGACAGTGAAGCCTAGCATGCTGCAGCCCATGGGGTCACAAAGAGTTGGACACAACTGAGTGACTGAACTGAAGTGTGAAATTAATATAATATTGGAAATCAACTATACTTTGAAAATTAGGATCCAAAATAAAAATTTTAATATATATAAAAAAGGAATAGAACTAAACTTATTTTACTAACAGAAAAGTATGAGCAAAGAGAAGTCCTGGTTTGGTGGCTTGAATATTTATCTTCATGAATAATGTGAGGAGACAGGTAGCAATAATAATACACAGAATTATATAGTATATACTTGTATAATATATTATATTCTGGTATTATACAATACCATGTATTATTATTATTATTATTAAATAGCCATTCCTTTCTCCAAGGGATCATCCCAACCCAGGGATTGAACACAATCCCTGCATTGCAGGTCAATTCTTTACCATCTGAGTCACCAGGGAAGTCCACATTATACAACACCATTTATTATTATTATTAAATCCTCATAACAAACCTTTAAGATATGTACTATTATACCCATTATTCAGACGAGGAAACTCAAACACAAAGATGTTAAGTAACTGGCTGGAGATCACAATACAAAGACAGGAATTAAACCACATAGTTTGGCTCTGTAATCTGTGCATTTAACCTCCACATGTTATCACCTCTCAATGTAAATGCTGGTAGGTGATATAAGGCAAAGGTCATCTAAGAGACATTTCTTGGTAGGTTGTGTTCAGTGGTGTATCAGGGAGATAAGGACCCAACTCAAACGACGATGCTGAAGGAAAGCTGGACACCGAGGTGGCTGTAAACTAGAGGTCAGGATACGCACAAGTAGGTCAGGACAGAAAGTGAAAGTGAAGTCATTCAGTTGTGTCTGACTCTTTCTGACCCCAAGGACTGTTGCCTGCCAGGCTCCTCCATCCATGGGATCGTCCAGGCAAAAATACTGGAGTGAGTTGCCATTTCCTTCTCCAGAGGATCTTCCCAACCCGGGGCTCAAACCCGGGTCTCCCACATTGCAAGGAGACTCTTTACCATCTGAGCTACCAGGAAAAGCTCAGGTCAGAGCAACAGGCAAAACCACCAAGACTCAGGCAGCATAGGCCACCCTCTAGAGTCTGCCCCAGGCAGAAAGGTTATTCCCCACTTCCCCAGAGACAGAAATCAATGACAGCCTTATTCTGCCAGTCAGAGCTTAACTGGAAGGGACAAAGGCCACCAGCCTGCAGCAATGTTCTCTATGCTTGACTTAACAAGTGAGCAACCCAGTCAGGAATAGAGCAAACACAACCACCCTAACAGTCTCCTAGTCCAGTCCTCTTTAAGAGGTTCAGGTTTCCTTGTTGAAAACATTCTCCTCCCAATGCCTTTCCAGAGCTTAAAGAGAAAGCATATGAATGAAGCTTAAGGGGTGGTGTAAGGAACAGGCCAGAGTGGCAGAGTACGCGTGGAGAAAGGCACCTACCGAGCAGCCTCCAGGTGTTTTCCTTTTGAGAGTCAGGTAGCATTATTATTTTCTTACTGAACAAGTATTAAGAAAGCTAAACTTCTCCTTGGTTTATAACTGGCATTCTAGGCAGAATAGCAATGCCCCCCAAGTCCACACTGAACAGCAAACTGGGGAGACAGGAAGAGTAGGAGAGGCACTTTGCGATGTATTATACTTATAAACTGTCTTAATTGCCTTAAAAAAAATATTTTTTTTTTTCCAGAATGGGGGAAGAGGCATATAAGAACAAAGGCTAAATGAGAAGGATGCAAAAATCTGGGGTGATGAGGACTCAGAAGTGATAAACATAAACACAAACTGAAAGTTAAAGACATAGCCAGGAGGAAGGAAAATGAAAGCCAATGTGTTAAGTCATAAATATTGATGAATACAAGTCGAGTCCATATGCGCTCTGACCCTTTTTGTAGATGTGAAGCGCTCCACTTCCAGAACTTGAACTTTTATTGGGCAGCCGGAGAGATATGTCTGTACATTAGGCTCCTTAAATCCTTGAGTCTTATAAACCGCAGAGAAAGGGATATACACTAAAAAATAAAAGAAGTAAATAAAATTGTCATAAGAATACAGTGTTACTAGCATCACTTGCCTGTTACAGGCATCTTTTTTAAGAATCATAATGGGCTACAACAAGAAAACAGCTAATGAAACTCAGCCCAGTGTTGTGACATCAGCAAGGATGATCAATCACTCGCTGGTTATTTCAAATCTGTGTTCTGCCAAACAACCATGATAAACTTTCTCCTCCTCACTCAGATGGTCAGTCTTTACCTTCCTGTATCCTGGGATCACTGGGAGACAGATCGTGGTCCACCTCCTCTCCCTCAAAGTGGAGCTCTCGCGTGTCCAGATTTTCTATCAAATTACTCATGTCAGCAGCGATTTTCTGCAGTGCAGAGGTATTTACTCTTGGCTCATTTTTCAGCGACATGTTGGCTTGAGACAGGGTAAAAGCAAAACAGCTGGGAAAGAAGAAAAGAGTTACCAGACTTACCATTTTGGTCAAATTTTAAAAGAGAATAAAATAATGCTGTTTGCAGTGACGTGGATGGACCGAGAGATTGTCATACTGAGTGAAGTAAGTCAGACAGAAAAAGGCAAATATCATATGACATTGCTTATATGTGGAATCTAAAACAAATGGCACAAATGAACTTATTTACAACAGAAATACAGTCACAGATACAGAAAAACTTATTGTTACCAAGGGAGAAAGGGGGCAGGGAGGGATAAATCGGGAGATTGGGATTGACATATACACCCTATGATACATAAAATAGATAATTAATAACGACCTACTGTATAGCACGGGGAACTCTACTCAATACTATAATGACCTATATGGGAACTGAACCTGAAAAAGAGTGGATATAGGTACATGTATAACTGATTCATTTTGTTATACAGCAAAAACTAACATATCATTGTAAAACAACTATACTCCAATAGAAATTTATTTCAAACAAACAAAAAAACCCTACACCCTGTTTTATTATTTGAATCCAGGCTTACATATAGCATATGGAAACAAGTCAGCTAGCTCTATGTGAGCCCCAATTACCTCAAACAACCTTTAAATTTATTTTCCAGTTTAACATTTAAAGGATTCCTAGCTTGCCATTTAAGTTGGAGTGAGATACTTAATTGTTTACCAAGTAAGAAAACAAGCAAGAAAAAGAAACACCGCATTGAATAAGTGCCAATATTATCTTTCATTTGGGAATCATTTTTTCAGTGAAAAGGAATTGATTCTTGACTCTAACAAAAACACGAAAAAATAATATCATCAAAATAAGTAACTTTAAATATTTTCCACAGAAAATTTAGGGTATTTGACAATAATTTCAATATACAGATTTAAAAAGTATTTTTATGCAGCCTAACCTTTCTATCAATACATTTCCCCTATAGGTGATAGAGGGCTTCTACAGGGGCTTAGACAGTAAAGAATTTGCCTGCAATGCAGGAGACCCAGGTTTGATTCCTGGGTCAGGAAGATCCCCTGGAGAAGGAAATGGCAACCCACTCCACTATTCTTGCCTGGAGAATTCCATAGACAGAGAAGCCTCGAGGTCTACAGTCCATGGGTTGGCAAAGAGCCATCCCAAGCAGAGTGTATACTATTTTTTTGAGATATGAGGTTTGGCCATGACTTTACGTGAGTTACAGTGATGTGCATGTCCTGGAAGGTAACCTATTAGTGTACCTTTTCTGAAAGATACCAGAAATGCAAGAATTACACTTCTCTCTTTTTAAGAAAACTGGTTCTATTTCATTCTGACATTTAATAACACAGGTCATTGCACATCAGTACCCAGGGAAGAAGAGTTCATAGAGATTTTAAAAATACTGAGATTTCAGCCGTAAGTGCTGTCGTTGGAGTTGGGTGAAAAATCCATATTGGTTGCAATAATCTCTCCAGACCAGACTAAAAAATAGGAGGGCTTCCATACCAGTAACTCCTCCATCTATGTGCATTTATTACTGCAAATCACAAACATTTACTGAGTATCCACCACTTACTCATTGTGACATGGAGTGAATATGTAAAGATGAATAAGACTGGTCACCGTCTACTCACTGTGAAATGGAGTGAGTGAATATGTAAAGATGAACAAGGCTGGTTCCTGGGAGGAAGGAGTTTCTAAGGCAGACGAGAGAAATAAGTTACATGGCCTCAAATCCATCCCTGGCCTCCCCCACAGTCTTGGCCTTCCTGAGAATGGCATGTGCTAAGTGGAAGACACTTAGGTGGATTCTCTTCTTCAGGTGCTATTAAGAAGTGTGGGGTGGGGAGCAGGGGAAGGTTTTATGAGAAGAGTCTTGGGCAGACTCGAGGAGCCCTTATTGTTACTCAGCAAGTCTCTAAAGCCTATACTGATATGTTTGGTAGAAAGAGAAATTATATAGAAATACAAAGAAAGGAGTAGAGGAGGGAGGTTCTGATTTGGCCAGATTAATAGACTCAATACGTCTAAGTTCTCCGCTCCTCTGTGTTGGCTATAAGAAGCCTGGAGCCAACTAGTGGCCCATTGCTAGCAAAATCCAGGACTATCTTTGCCTCTATCACTTCCCTTCAACTTTCCCACTTCTAATTCATGTTATAATAATAGTTGATGTATGCTGATTACTTACCATCACCTGGCTTGGTGATAATCTTTTATATACCTTATCATATTTATCATCAATAATAAATCTATGAAGATTTGTTATTTCCACTTTGAAGAGGACAGGGGTTTGTCATTCTTTCTTTATTGATAAGGAAATACGGAGAAGCATGGAGAGATTGCATAATTTGATGATTACTTTGGACAATCTGTACAAGGTCATATAACCAGTAAGAGATGGAGAAGGAATTTGAAACCAGGTCTCTATGACCCCAAAACTGATGTTCTTAACCATAGCCTTTATCTTCTGTATATTTTTTGTAGATACGTAAGCGCCCCTAGAATAGATGGAAGTTTTAGTAAAATCAGTGCCCTTGAACAAGTCCCTTTAGAAGCTGACACAAATGTAAAGAAAAATAAATGAATTCCTCTTGCATCCTTCAGCCATTTAAATTCAGGACCTTGGTTTCCTTCTCTATAAATTAAAAAGGTTGAGCCATTTCATCTCCAGAATTCCTTTAACAATAAAACCTTAAGTGTAAATAAAAGATGCTATAAATTGTTCAGTCTCCCTTATAATATAATCCATTTAACCCTTCTCCCATCCCAAGAAATTAACTGAAGTAGTTTTTCATATGAATATGAGAAGTCAGTGCCTCCGGACACAATTAAAACATTTAATTCCTTCCCTCTCAATTCTGACACCTATTAAATGCCAACCATGAGCCAGGGTTTGCTTTATTTAAAATACAAGGTAATGAAAAACTTAAGAGGAAATGAAACAAGGAAAAACGAGTAAGAAATTACATCATATCATTGCTACTTGTGAATCTGTCAAGACTTTAGGTATTTTCCATTGATTAAACAGTCTAATGGGTAACTTAGTTAACTTTCTCAGCACAGCAAAGGAAAATAAGGGTCGCTTCAAATGACTTTCCTTTTGGACAGTGTTAATGTTAAAAGAATAAATGTTAATGTTAAAATGTTAATGTGTTAATGTTGTTAAAAATGCATGTTGAATTAAAGATACAGAGAGAATAAATTACACATTGCAAGCTAATTGGAATAAATAGTACAGAATTACTGGATCAATCTAACAAAACATATCATGTTTCAGGTAAGGAAGACAGAAGGATATAAATCTGTGAAAAACTTAAGAGTGAGAAAAGAAACAGAAAGGAATCCTCTTATCATTTATCCTCAAGTATTTACTGTGCACTCAGCACCATTTTAGCACAGTTATGTTATTTAGTACTCACAATGATCCTAGTGGTACTTACGATTAGTCTGAATAATTTGCATTCAAAACCTTGATTATTTAGTTAAATAATCTATCTAAGCTCATTTCAGTCATGTCAGTGTTGAATTTATAGAACAGATTTGTCTGGCTCTGAAATCTCATGGACTTAGTTATAGAAGTTTGAAATTATTAATTTTATTTTATGGGCTTGAATGTCTAAAAATTAGTCATTTATGTAAGTTGAACTTCTGTAACAATAGATACTTTCTGCTTTAATCACCACCCTTCTAAGGGATCCCATTGGCTCCACTGTCCTTACAATTTTGGAAACAACATAACCTGACACTCTCCTCAACTTCGTCTTAGCCTTTATTTTTATGGCTCGTAATATTTTACAAGGTTCCATGGAAATTCAGCTGACCCAACGGCTTTGTAGGTTTGTTCAGGTTTTTTTGAAGATCTTACCATTTAATAATGGAAAAAGAACCAAATTATTTGTCCATCACTGCCTTCACTTGAGTGCGTGGTTGCTTTGTGTTGACTTTTTGTCCAACGATGGTACTGCTGGTTTTATTCTTGAATATCAAGCTGCAAGGCCACTGACACTCCTATGTTGTCACATCATAATTTATTATCCCATATTTTCTTTCATCTGAAATAATCTATAATGGCAGGTGAGCAGTTGTCACAGTTACAGCCTATTTTAACCAGCAACAGGATAAAGCCGTCAGTGTGTACACTTGAGATAATGTAATTGATTTGTTACCTCCTTATAAATACACTGCAAGATCATTATCTCTTTTGGTACCAAGTAGAGATGGAACCCACAGAGTGATAACAGCAGCTGTGTTTTATTTCTATTTGTGTCTGTATCTGGGAAGTAAATGGTTTTGCTTTTTTTTCTTCTTCTGGTTTTAAATACTAGAATTAAACATCTTTGCAGGGAACATTTAATTATAATTACCTACACTTATCTAATGGTGAAATCAGAGAAATTTAGAGTTTTCTGATCTTTAATTTTCAACATGATTGGGAAGTAGAACATCAAAGAGAATAGATATTTTCCTTACCAGATTCGTGCATAAATATTGCCTTAGCTAAACTACAAGGATAATAATATTAACTACAACTATTAATGTTAAAATAAATATTAACACTAGCTAATATTGGCTGAATATGTACTATATGCCAGGCACTATAGAAAAAGATTAATTGTATGCCTTCAGTGACTCCTCACAACCTTAGGAACCGAGTCCTATTGCCACTCCCATTTTTAAGATGAGAGGTGGGCAGCTTGTCCTGGGGCACATGGCTGGAAGTCATAGAGTTGGACTTGAACTTGCTTGGTCTGACTCCAAAGTCCAGCTCCTTAACCAGCCAGAAGTGGAACTGGGGAATGGCAGGATGGATGGACACTTGTACTCCTTACTTTGCACACTCTTAGAATAAAACAATGAAAAAAGGCATAGTAATAACAACAAAAAAAAACTCAGCTTCTGTTTTGTGAAGATGATGGTGATTTACTTCCTGCTTCTTTCTAATTTAGGAAGTTGTCCCTGTATTTTTTTTTCAATATGTAATGTTTGCTTACCAAGGGAAACAAATGCAATGGATT